AGCACTGCCCTGATACACTGGTCACCACAGCTCGTTTACTGCCCATAGCACCAAATAAAAGCTGCTGGGTTGTACTTCTCAGCTGGAGGGTGTAACTCATCTCTGAGGCACAGAGGGACATTAAGCACTTAAAGACCTCTGGAATATTCATTCATCCATCCCCCCTTAGAAACCACTACTGGAATGAGGCATCAAGGGACATGGAGAAAAGCCTGGAATTAGAATAATTTCCCCCTCATCTAACAGCAGGCACTCCGAATCATATCCATCCTATGTTCACGTGGGAACACCAGCCTCTCCTCACATCAGCATTTTGGGTTTTAAATCATACCCAAAGTACTCCAGGTGGAACTGCTTCAAACTGACAAGGTGCTCTGCATGTCCAGCTCCGTGTTGCTATATGTTTGTCCACATGTCCTGTGCAGTGTACGTACATCATGAGTGAGAGTCAGAAATCCGTGGATCTGCTACCCTTACGCTGAGAATTAGATCTGCCTGTGCATATAATGCTTCCTGTTGGAGAAACAGGATGTACAATCCCATTCTAGTGGCCTGGTGGAGAGTGTCCTTGCCCATGGCAGGGGCGTTGGAACTGGATGAAGTTTAAAGCCCCTGCCAACCCCAACCCCTCTATGATTCCTCTCATGCATACCTTGCACGACTAGCTTGGCTCTGGACTGAGCATCACCGATGTCGCAGGTATAAGTGTCACTGTCACTTTTCTCCAAGTTATTTATGGTCAGCTGCAGGACTTGTCCTTTCTGTGTGATCCCGTATTTCCTGCTAGGCCTGAGTTCAGCCATGCCTTTCCTCCACACCACGGAGGATGCAGCTTTCTCACTCTGGCACATAAAAACTGCAGTTCCACTTTCATCAACTTTCAGATCTGAAAGTTCCTTGACAAAATAATTAGGTTTTTCTGGAAGGAAAAAAGAGAGATTTGTTACCCAAACAAGTCCTGAGCATACGGAATGGTCTTGAACCCCTCTGCGCCCACTTGTAGAATCACAGAATATAGAATCATAGAACAATTTAGGTTGAAAAAGACTCTTTAAGATCATCAAGTCCAACCATTAACCCAAGCCTACCAAGCTCACCACTAAACCATGTCCCTAAGCACCACATCTACATGTCTGTTAAATCCCCCCAGGGATGGTGACTCCACCACCTCCCTGGGCAGCCCCTTCCAATGCCTGACAACCCTTTCAGGGAAGAAATTTTTCCTAATATCCCATCTAAACTTCCTTGGCACAGCTTGAGGCCATTTCTTCTCATCCTATCAGATGGAATGGATAGAAGATCACCAAGTCCCCCTTCTGTCACAGGACATATCAGGTAAAACGCTTCCAGGAAAGTTTAATGTCCTTGTATAGGTACTGGTGAGGTCTCACCTTGCAGGCTGCATACAGTTTTGATCACCCATATTCAAAAAAATGCTAATTCAAATTGCCAATTTTGATTGGCTCATTACGTAGCAGATAAGATTCTTCAGTACCTACAAGGTGTTTTTTCAGAGTTTTTTTAAAAAAGCTTTTAATCCATGACATTTACTGAAAACTAAAAATTGATCCTGTTTAGGGAGATAGAAGAGAAGAACATCTCCCGCAGGTTGCAGATATTTACCCCAACTTTTGCATACGGCAGCTCCTATGCGTGCTTCAACTGACCTTGCACCGTGATCCTGGCTTTTGTTTGAGACGCCTCTGTCTCGCAGGTGTATTCCCCACTGTCCTTGACCGTGGAGTTATGGATGATCAGAATGGCACGTGTCCCCTCTTGGTGCAAGTCATATTTCTGGCTTTTTCGGATGGCTTTGCCATCCTTGTACCACCTGATGCTCACATTGGGTTTTGACAATTCGCAGCTCAGGCTGATGTCCTCACCCACTGCTGATGTTTTATCCTCCAGCTGTTTTGTAACCTCAGTAGGTTTTTCTGAAGAAGGGAAAAAATAGAAAAGGAACTTTGAATAAAAATCATGATCACTATATGGTTGGGGTTTTTGCAATTCACATAGCCAGGTAGTTTTCACATTCCCCAAGGAATGATTCTTATTAGGGTAGGGAAGGGAGTGGAAAAGCAGTCTTGCTCTTTAGTACATATATACTTGCAGTTCTAGGCTCTCAGTGAATATTAATGATTACTTACAGGAACAGAGGACTTGTCCTGATGGCATTTGTTTTAAGGGATGTCATTGTGCCATCAGTGAAGTTACTGTAGGTATATACTAGAGGTATCTGTGCTACAGAGACGGGTAGCAGACGCCTTCACCCCAGGGCTGCTCTACAACCAGCAGTGATCTGCTAAGTACAGGTAATAGAATTCAAGAAACAATTTATTTTGCCCTAATAGGACTAATTGGATGATGAACCATGTCTGAAAACTACGGATTTCTTCACTGCCTAGCCAGGGAGCTGTGGGTGATTATCTCAGACGCACAGAGTCTGGGTAGTAATTGCACAATTATACAATATATTACACAACATACCCAGTATATTCAGCAATTCTCAAATATCTATAAGAAGTTCCAGATTTTCACTTGTTTTTATGGAAGATTCTCAAGGCTCACAGAGAAGGCTGCTATTCCCTTTGATCGTAACACAGGTTTCCCTTCACAGTTTACTGACATACCTTGCCAAAAGGATGTCAAACCCCAGAACCCTTCTGATCTCATTACCTTTCACAACCAGAGAAGCCTTGGAGGTTAGACCACGGGCAGTGAAAATGACTTCCCCAGCATCATCAAGAATCACGCTTTTGATATTCAGCGTGTATTTCCGCCCCATGTTCGAGGCTTTAAATCGCCCACCACTTTCCACTTTGCTCCCGTTGAGCGTCCAGTTGAAGTCGTCGATGCTTTCATGGGACAAAATACACTCAAAAGCGCAATCTTCTCCCTCCTGGATTTCAGTGTTCTTCAGCCGTTTGGTGATGCCAATGTTCAGTTCTGGAAGGCATAAAGCAGGTTAATACACGGAGGAAAGGCTTTTATGGTTAATGTGAGTAGTGGTATTGACATTGTCAGCTGATGAGACTGGTTTATCTATAGGGTTGACCGGACAGCACTGCATTCCTTAGAGGTTTTTGACATGGGAAGGATTTCTCAGGCATTATCCACTCAGAATCACCACAAAGCTATAGAAAAAGGGGCACATGAATCTCCTGGGTTTGCTCTGGAGGGACTGCATGAAGACCAGTTCACTTGGTGGAGAAAAGTCAAGTTTCAGTGAGCGAGAGGGGAGAAAAGCTGTCAGACAAGACGCCTCTGGGACATCATGTGAGGTTTTCCTCCATGCTGGTATGAGAAATGGGATGGTTGTGTATGTTAAGTTGTACCATCCTACCCCTCCTGGTGTTCCAATCAGACAAATTCAGAATGCGTCTCATTAGCAACACGAGTTTGAAAGCCATGGACTCTCCTCTTTCCTTCAAGCAGTGACAAGGATGGGAAGACAGGCTGAATTGCTGGGTTCAACAGACAGTGTTGTCCTACTCTTGTGTTCCCACACCCAACCCTGAATTAACAGCTGAAACATGTGAAACGCAAGCTGCTTTTTTTTTTTTTTGAAAAAAATTAGTCACCCTTCTGGAAGGATTTTCCACTTTAGAGATGTTCAGGAAGGAAATATTGCCAACATATCAATACGTGAAGTTCACTGAAACACCAGATATACTTACATAAGAGAGCAATGGGAACTGTTCAAACATCTCCATGTTATGTGGTAAATTCTGCTAGCACTGGTCACAAGTGGAGGCCGTTGAGGCTCAGGGAGGAATAGGAGTGACAGAAAGTGACCAATCCCACCCACATTCGCAGCACCTCCTTGACTGGCCATCATCAGTACTTACCCTGAATGCTGACCTTTGACTTGGCAACATCAGTGCCAATATCACATGTGTATAAACCTGCATCTGTCTTTTCGAGGTCATGGATAAGGAGGCACAGGGTCTTCCCAGACTGTGTCTGCTCATACTTATTACCAGCAGTGAGCTTCACACCATCTTTTTTCCAAACAGGTTTGACCTTCTCTTTGGAGACTTCACATTCCAGTTTAATCACACCTCGCTCCTCACCAAAAACATCGTCCAAGGATTTCATGAAGACAGCAGGCTTCTCTGAAGGTTAACAGGCAGAACAGAGAACAACCAGGATGTTTAAGTTGAGACATTTTCTGTTGGTATCAAATATTCAAAGAAAGCTTAAGCAAACTCTTGGCAATGCTGATTGTACCCATGCAGAACTTAAATCAGTCTCACACCTCATGACTGGAATGGGTTTTAGGGAAACCAGAGTTCATTAATGGGAGGATGCAGGGAAGGAGAGACACAGCCTGCATTGCTGTGGGTGGGGAGTTGATAATCCCATGCTGTAATCGTGGCCTCCCTTATGGCTGCACACCTACAAGATTGCAAGGACTCATTTTTATTGTGTTGGGGCATCTGTCAGCAACAGAAGATCCCACCACAGGGAATGGGGCTTGGAGAAGGCATGTAGGGCCCTAGCGAGGGCCAGCGGGACAGCTTCACACTTCTATGGAATAGCTCCTCAACAAGACAGACCAAATTTAAGAAAGCATTGTCTGCTTTCTCTGCTCCTCTGTGGAGGAGCAGAAAATGTTCTCTGGGAACGTGCTTTCTCATTACAGCAGTCTACACGTGGAAAGGGTTTGGGTAGTTAGAAGAAAAATGTGTGAAGAGAAGTACTTGGGACATAGGTCTTCTAAAGCCAGAGAGCTGGCACTGCCTTTTCATGAAGCAGGATTCAAGTAGTTGGACTAGCAATAAAAGGATATGCTGCACATTCTCCTCACTCTCCTGAACATTTTTGCTCCTGCCTCTTTGTTTTCTTTATTCACTTTATTTAATTTAAAATCTATTTGACACTGAAGATATTTATACAAGGGAAACAGTCTTCCTTCGAAAAGTCAGCTATAACGGAAACTTACACTGGAAGAAAGCCCTTGCACACTTATTACTCATTCCCAGAGTGGTGAAGCCTACAAGCAGGATTGCTGCATGGATATGGCAAACAAGAGCTCTTTTGCATCTCTCATTTACATTCAGGAGGTGTGTGATCACGACCTACCTATCACCTTCAGACGCACGCTCTCTGACACTTTGTCCGACTTCATTGTCACTGTGCCAGCATCCTCAGGCCTGACTTGCTTCATCATCAGCGCGTAGCAATTGCCAACGTTCCTGATGTCATTGAAATTGTTGGTGTAAAGGAGGGTGCCATTGAGGAACCATTCCACATCCTCGTCATCGTGGGACAGCTCGCAGGAGAAGACAGCGGAACTCTCTTCTTCAATTTCCACGTCCTGCAGGTGCTTGAGTACTTCCACATTGCGGGCTGTGGGAAGCCAAGGTGCACCATCACCACTCCAGCTACCAACCAGTACTGTTACCTCACACAGATTTCAGGATGTGTAGAGTTAGATGGTTTAGCCTGGTCTCCGGTACATCATAGGTCACTGCATTTTATTTACTTGGGTCTGCATTTAGTCCCACAAAAAAAAAAAGTCCACTAAAACTCCTATATGGTCTAAACTCCTCAATTCTCTTTTTACACATAAAACTGTTTTTTGGTTTTTAATTTAAAGATAAGTATTTCTTTCTAAAATGGTAATGACGTTACAGTGATGCCTAAGTATCCCACAGAGCTCCAAATCCCTGTGTGCTTGTCACTTTAAATCATCCCTGACTCACTGCCAGGGAAACACAGAGGATGAGATGAAGACAACGGGTTTGGCCACAGCCAGCGAGTACAAACAGATTTAGCAACTTGCTCAGGTTTAACAGGAATTGAATTATTTTCCTTCCTAGTTCTTGGCCAGAGGTTTTTCTTTGCAGCTTCTCCGCTCACAAAATGCTCTTTCTCAAGGACTAACGCAGAGGAGGGAGTATTAAATCATTTTGTCATTTAGATGAACCTCTGCAAGGCCAAATTGTTACCAAAAGCTGCTCCCTGGGCTTCTGGAAATGATTCAGTGGCTCACCTCCAACTCTTGCTGCAAGTGACACAGTGATCACCTTTTCTTACCGTTTCACCAAAGGTGAAAAACTGGCTAAAAATAGTGCCATACCAGGATGAGGAAGAACATATCATTGTGAATAACAAACCTATAGCAGACCTACAAGCTGCACCACACAGATACCGGTGCAGCAGAGGTGAAAAACTGGCTAAAAATAGTGCCATACCAGGATGAGGTAGAACATGATTGTGAGTAACAAACCTATAGCAGACCTACAAGCTGACCCACACAGTGGTCAGGAAATGAAAACCACAACCAAGATCACCAGAAGCAGAGCCTGTAGCACTTAAACGTAAAGGACGTTTTTAGCAAGCAGTACCAAAGAGGTCTAGTTCCTCGGATGAAATGGAAAATAATATGCCTGGAGAAAGATGTGTGAATTTCTGCCTTACCCAGGTTGTGCCCTTCCACATGCATCACCTACTTCATGGTAAGTGCTGGATTTCTGTATCATGGAATATCAGCACAGTACATGATACAGTCAGTTCACTTAAGACACTGTATTTACATAAAATTAGCTGCAGAATTATGAGAGTCTATCTCAAGAGAAACCCAGAGTGAAATACTAAACCATGAAGATATAGAATGGCTTGGGTTGGAAAGGACCTTTAACGGTCATCTAGTCCAACTCCCCCTGCAATGAGCCGGGACATCTAGATCAGGTTGCTCAGATCCCCATCCAACCTGGCCTTGAATGTTTCCAGGGATGGGGCATCTACCACCCCTCTGGGCAACCTGTTCCCGTGTTTCACCACCCTCGTTGTAAAAAACTTCTTCCTTATATCTGTGCAACAGGCAAGCCTCCCTGCTGCAAACCCCTTGTACCTTCCACAGTCAACGTGGCTTCGGTCTCCGCGTTTCCAGCCTTGCACTTATATACGCCAGCATCTTCGGGCTTCACCTTCAAAATCTTGAGCTCTGCCGAATGCTGCTCCCGCTTGATTTTGTACTTCTCAGAGGGCTCAATGGGTGCGTGGTCCTTGAACCACTTCACAACCTTTGGAGAAGGCCTGAAGTCGCAGGACAGGATGACTGAATGGCGCTCCAGAGCTGTCTTGTCCTCCATCTTCCTGGTGATCTGTATGTGGTAATCTGCAAAGTAGGGTTGGGAAAGAAGAAAGGATGAGCACAATCTAAAGAAGAGCAAATTTTCTCATCCGTATTTCATGCCAATTAATTTCACCTATGTCGCTGACAACTGCTTTGTGAACCACTCGGATGATGCCACCGGTTGCTGTTACAGAGATGATTTCCTTTGTGTGCAAATGCCATCATGATCTATAGGGAATGCGGGTTTCTGTAAGGCAATGCTGTAGATGAACTACCTAATGCATGGTCCAGTTCTGGTTCAGTGTTTACTGGATCGTTCTCTAATTGGGGACTTCATGCAAGTAAAAGTGAATTAAAGACAAAACAAGGACTTCAGAATATGACTGGAGATATTTACTATAGTGACAGCAGAAGATAAAAAGCCTTGAAGCTTTGTCCCAGATGAAATCAATGACAAAGTGGATTAAGTAAATGAGCTATCAAGCTTGTCTAGTTCAGAAATGGAACAAAACAAACTCTCCTGGCAAATTTCCATCTGTTTTGTCCTCTTTGGTAAAGTCAAGAAAAAAAAATTCCAGTCTCAGCTCAGTAGAGTTGAATACCAGGCACTCCAAACTCATTTAATTGGATCCCTTCCTGAGCCATTGCTGTCTCATCCAGCATTGCACTCAACAACTTGTAATTGGGAACTACGCAGATCTTCCAGGTACATGTATATTTCCAAGACCCCAGTCAGTGGACCCTGCACATTAAAGAATATGCATGAAAAATTCCTTTCCAGGGACTGTGTGAGAGAGGATCTCTTGTGTGGCCAGCAGGTCGAGTGAGGGGATTCTGCCCTTGTACTCTGCTCTGGTGAGACCCCACCTGGAGTGCTGCGTCCAGCTGTGGAGCCCTCAGCATCAGAAGGATACAGACCAGTTGGAGCGAGTCCAGAGGAGGCCACAAAGATGCTCAGAGGGCTGGAGCACCTCTGCTATGAGGACAGGCTGAGAGAGCTGGGCTTGTTCAGCTTGGAAAAGAGAAGGCTCCAGGGAGACCTTATAGCCCCTTCCAGTACCTGAAGGGGCTACAGGGAAGCTGTGAGGGACTTTTTACAAGGGCCTGTAGTGACAGGACAAGGGGTCACGGGTACAAATTGAAAACAGGGAGGGTTAGATTAGATATAAGGAAGAAATTCTTCACTGAGAGGGTGGTGGGCACAGGTTGCCCAGAGAAGCTGTGGATGCCCCATCCCTGGATGTCTTCAAGGCCAGGCTGGATGAGGCTTGGAGCAACCTGGTCTAGTGGAAGGTGTCCCTGCCCAGGGCAGGGGGGTTGGAACTAGATGATCTTTAAGGTCCCTTCCAACCCAAACCATTCCATGATTCTATGATCTAACTGAAGGACATAACACTTTACCTCTGACAAGCAGGTTTGCTGTGGATTTTGATTTCCCAATGGAGAACTGAATGATGCCTGTCATGTCAGCGCTGGTTTTCAGCAGTGTCAGACGGTGGATGGTGCCTTCTTGATGCATGATAATGTTTCTGCCAGCTTGCAAGACTTCTCCACGTAGAGACCACTTGGGGGGTTTCACAGATGGAATGGATATCTCACATTCAAACCTGGCTTCCTCCGGCTCAGTCACATCCTCATCACACAACTCCTTTACAATATTAATGGATTGCTCTGGATGAAGGATGGAATGAAAAAGCAGGGATTAAGAAGGCATGAAAGAACTCTCTCATTAGCATCCTGCAAACTCATCCCATCTTTACTGCACTTGAATACTGTACTTATTGGCTCAAAAGGCCCTAAAGCATCCTTTTTTTAATAAAAACAAACACATATATTGTTGGTCACAGGTCAGACAGTGGACTGCGACACAGGCTCACGAGAACCCAGATTTTCTGATTCCCAGTCCTATTTCTAAAGCCATTTTCCTATCCTGATATCAAACATGTGGCATTATAAAAGGGAAAAGACAGTTCACTGAAATACAAACGTTGATAATAGGGAAGACTTTGGCTGGCTACAGCAACCTTTCTCTGAACAAGACTTCTCCAGTACATCTGATAAACTTCCCTGTAACAGAAATTTCCTTAGGAGAACTTACCATCTATTCTTTTTCCAGGATGTTCCTGGTCTTATAATCTTAAGAGGAATCAGGATCAATGGACTTCAGAAGAAAACACCACTGAATTAAACTATTTCTTGAGTGGTATTGTGTTTTCAAAGTAAATGTCAAGGGCTTTTTGAAACAGCAAATCTTCCTTCCAATGCATATTAGAGGGAAAATATGATTTATTACCTTCAACAAAGAAATTAGCGCTGCTTTTGTCATCAAAGGCATCACAAGTGTATGTGTCCTCATCTCGATAGTCCGCGTCGTTGATGATTAGTTTCCGATAGACACCATCGCTCACTATTTCGTATTTGTCACTGGGGTGGATTTCAACGTCCTTTTTGTACCACCTGACTGTGGCGTTGGCACGAGACACCTGGCACTCCAGGAACCCCCGATGTTTTTCAAGAGCGATCTTATCTCGCAAAGGCTTCACGATTTTTACAGGCAGTTCTAAATGAGTAAAAAAAGACAAAATAATCTGTACAGTTTCCATGAAAAGTGCCAATCAAAAACTTAATAGCAATATTTCTTTTACAGTCACCTATTTAGATGATGACAGAAATCCCCACTATGCCAAGCACTCCACTAGCACACAGCAAATGAAGAGCTAACAAAAGGAAAACTTTTTATCCCTATTTTACTACTTATGTTGCTGAACTGCAGAGACAATATTTAATATCTCAACACTACACACCAGTGCTACGCCACAGCCAGGGACTGATCTCAGATTTCCTGAGCTCCTCAATGTGTTCATTCAAATCACAGAATCATAGAATGGT